TGATCAGATATAGGTGATAAAACCATCCCTGTACGTGCAGTTATTCACCTCCCCTCAAAAGGCAAGTGAAATTAAACCTCCGAGCGGAGATGAAAACATATCTCTTTAGTGCCTGAACAAAAACAAACCATCCATCTGCGCCTCTTGGCTACAGGCCAATCTACATTTACTTGGGATTCGTCATTTGCCCTTGAACTTGAGAGGACGTTGGCCTTCGTTACTTCACACGACTATCAAATTAAGGCAGCTTGGAAATCGGGAAACACACAATTAGGGACTGTCCGCAGAGTGTGAATACAGATTAGGATGTGGATTAAGAGTTACATTACGTTTGTGCTACACCGCCTGGTGGCATGGCGTGAATATTCATATAACGACTCCGGGAATCAGTTTTTATCAAACGATTTGAAACCACAGCCCGCGAACCATGTAATTTTTACAAGCGTTTGGATTTTCTATCAAGCACAATAGCTACTACGTTATCCCGAAAACCTTCTCCTCTCTATCTATTATAGAAAACTTACGATTGCCGTGAGTATAACACTTGCAATCTAAAGAGATTCATCTCCAGAACGGAGAGACAACGATCCTTCCCTCCCTAAGATATCGACCCGGGGAAGTTCTTGTTTACATGGCAGAAGGAGATTGACGGCTCGACCTTGACCAAATTGGTGCTTGTCCCCGGGAGTTCTGAATCTAATTACGTATCCTTTCACAGCTTTGATCTGTCTTTCTGAACACGTTCAAGCCTCCCGCTGTGACGTCGACGAGATTCAAGTAACGGGACGTACAGCTAAGAACATGAGCGGAGAGCTATGATACCCCGAGTGCTGCCGGAGATAAGGCGTACATTTGAGCACTAAAATCGCCGAATAATGCATCTTAATATCTGCTACAATTTTCCCCCTTACGTCAATTAATCCGCAAAAGCCTAGAAATCTTCCGAATATTAGCCAGTGTGCTACCAAGATTTAATTTCCTGCCACCGGCTTTACTGAAATACTGTGCGTCAACAGCCAGCTTCTTGAATAACAAAACAGACAAGCCAAGACTGGAGAACCATTCCTCTGACATGAGTGGAGCTAGGAGCCTGCCTGGCAGTGATATAAACATATGACAGGCCCACGCGTACAGAAGTAAACACAGCATCGTTGATATGATCTCTTGTCTTCCCGGGGACAAGGTCATCATCTGTTGACGGACGGATCTAACGGAGATGTGTTGGATGGTTAACAACAACATTCATCGAGAAATTAACAACAGCTTCTTGTTTTTACAAAAGTTGATATCCTGCTAATTTGAATCACGTGTAAATATTATACGTCTTCGAAAACAAAACAAAAAATCCCTGGGCCTCAATTACTGTCGGAGGCAATTTTTTGTTCCAAACGTAATACCGGTGCCACCTATTTGACAAATTAATGCATTCCTGAAATACTAGTAGATTATTTTTTTCTCGACTTTTATCAGTCCTTCCCACGCATCTCGTCCCCAGGACATTTTTGGAGCCGCTCTAATGATGTTACGCAACAGTGCGCATGCTCTACGATACCTG